AAAAAAAAAAAAAAAAGAAAGAAATTACAAATCTGCCAGCATCCCAGTAGCTGCAAGTGATCAGTATGACATTCCTTACAGAAGCAAAGTGAAAATATTAGGTACAGCCAGGCACTGGTGGCTCATGTCTGTAATCCTAGCTACTCAGGAGGCTGAGATTTGAGAATCGTGGTTCAAACCAGGCCTGGTCAGGAAAGATGAGACTCTTATCCCCAATTAACCAACAGAAAACTGAAAGTGGCACTGTGGCTCAAGTAGTAGAGCGCTAGCCTTGATCTGAAGCGCTCAGGGGCAGGGTCCAGGCCCAGAGTTCAAGGCCCACAATCGACAAAAAAGGAAAAAAATAGGTACAAAACTCTGTCTAATTGACTTTGATAACAACCCATGATGGGATCAGAAAGGGAGGGATAGAAGGTGGTAGGCTTGGGAGAGATGACAGACCAACTCGGCCAAGCATAGTGGACAAGAGCAGCCCGGAGGCTTAAGGAGGTGAGACTCCACACCATTTACACACTGTAACCACTCCTCTGGAATTTTAAAATTGCCCAGGCCTGGGTTCCACCATGTTTGAATATCTGAGATGAGGCCCGATGCCACACATTTTAAAAGTTCCCCAGGTTTAGCCAGGGGCTGGTGGATCACACCTATAATCCTAGCCACTTAGATTTCGATCTGAGAATCAAGTTCAAACCAGAGAGGAAGGTCTAATAGATTCTTATCTCCAATTAATTAGCAAAAAACATTAGTGGAGGTGTGGTTCAAGTGGTAGAGCACCAACCTTGAATGAAAATTCAAGCCCAAATACCAGACATACAAGAAAAAGTTCTCCAGGTTGTACAGGAGTTATGAGGGGGTGGCAATCACTTGTCTGGATCAGCCTATAAATTCCTTCCCTTAGTGACTTCCCTGAATTCATGGAGAAGCTGTGAGATCCCCTTAGTCTAGGACCATCCTCTCCAGCAGGTGCCAGGGAAGGAATTCCAGGTCTGAAACCAGTTGGGTCTGGGTTCTGTCCCTTGTTCTGCCACTTAGCCTGGGTCTGTAGTTATTCAGCACCTCTAGAACTCATTCCCTTGTTTCAAAGCTGAAGACACAGGGCTCCACCTTGGAGAGTTGTTGCAGGGATTAGAAAGACTGCAGTGAATGCAGTGTGGTATACCTGTCTAAGAAATGGAACTAATGTTATGCCAGGTGATGAGAGCTGCAGAACCCCAGTCTACCCACCTGTGCTGGGAGCCCAGCTTTGATTTGGACTGGACCACCATGGGAAGTGCTCTGTGTGTTCATATGGGGACAGCACAGTTGCTTCCTCCTGTGACGGTCCCCAAGACACCCTTGTTTGTCAGGCTCTCCAGGTGTCTACTCTGCCCTCCACCTTTGCTGCTTCTTGTCCCAGGCCTGCGGTTATCATCACATTTGCTGTGCTTATGCCCTAGCCTATCTGCTTGACTGTGCCTGTAATTCTGTCTGTTTTATTTGTAGCTCTTCTAGTGTAGACTTTTTTTTCCCTTTTTTGTTTTTCATGCTGGGTATTGAACCCAGGGCTTCAAACCACCATTGGAGCTACTTTTACCCCTATTTGATTTTGTTTTCGAGACAGGATTTTTACTAATATTGTCTGACTGGACTCAAAATTGTCCTACCTTTGTTTCTCAGGTGGGTGGGGTCACAGGTATGTGCCACCATGCTTGGGTTAAATTTCTTAATGTAATTTGCTAATTCCATCAGAATTAGCAAAACATAGAACACAGGCTTTGAAGAGTATGTCCTGAAATGAGCTCCTTGACCAACTAAATTATGTATGTGTGTGGGGGGGGGGGAATGGGGAGTATGTATGGTTATCATAACCCCTCCTCCCCTGCCCTGGGTTGTTGAAATGATTGAATGAGGTTTACCAAATTCATGGGCAGTATGTGTGGCAGAATGGTGGCTTTGAAAACTGAGGAGTCTAGCTCCCATACCAGCCTACTACTTATAGAACTTGGCCCAGTGAGCTCACTCCTCTGAGGCTCTCCTCCTTCCTTTGTAAAATGGAGAGAACTCCATGTAGGTCACAGCAGTAAAGCACCCCATGGTAATCTAAAAATTCTAGCAGTTTCCTGCGGTACCTGCTGCTGTGCTTAGCATAAATGTGGCTTAAGGAAGTAGGTGTTCAATAGATCAATTGTGAATATACACCGAGTTGTACTGCTACCCTGGAAGGAGGCAGCTGATAGTGGTGAGGACGGGCCTGGAGGCCTTTACCTGGAGGAGCACTCCAGACAAATAATGCAAGCATCGTCCTCAATGCTCACACACTTACACTCCTCCCCTTCGGGCACCCACGGACACTAGAATACAAATTTCTTCTTGATGGATAATAAAAAAGGCACACCCCACATTCAAGGCCAGACCTGAGCTGTGCTTATTTGACCTCTGAGGTGAAGGCCTAGAGGTCCTTGCCAGCACCCTACTCCCAGGGAGACCCCACAGTCTGAACTCTTGAGGATGGGTCCTTCAGCAGAGAAGGAAACATCAGGCTTAGCATTGCGATCACGGGTGAAAAGGCACCCATGTTCTGTGTGAACTTCCTAGGAGAAATTCCAAAACCTGGCATACAAGAAGTCAGAAGAAAACTGGGGACCAGTCTTAGTGTTGGTTTTCTGTGGGTCTAGGGGATGGAACAGGGGCAGGGCAACCATCAGGATGTACTTTTCTTATTCATTAATCTATGAGTCATCTACTTATCTTTACCAGTTTTCAATGTTCCTGGTTTACATGGGAAAGTTTCACCACTTGGGCTTCATTCCCTATGGGCACCATTTGGAGGTATAAGCCCCAAGGTGGGCACACCCTCAGGCCCTTCCCTCTGTGATCCAGACATGGGGTGGGGGATGGCCTCACCTACATACTCGCCCCTGGTGAAGGGCAGAGCTGGGTGGATGGTCCTCATCTCATGCTCAGCGGGGGGTGGTTCATAGCTATCATCCCCATTCTCCTCCGCGGGCATCACATACATCTCCGAGTCCGAGTGCTCGTCTGGGTTTTCATAGTCGCTGTCCTGCAAATGGAGATACCATCCTTAGTCCCTGTGCTCACTCAGCTTGAGAAATCAGAACTGTTTTCACAGTGGCAGGACCAGGAGGCTGTAGCTGGGGTAGACTTCAATTTGCAGGATTAGGCAACTGGTGATAGGCAAAACCAGAGTTTCCCACCTCCAAAGCCGCTTGCTTTGCCCACCACCGTGACCTGGAGAACAGGTGAACTCTTTAATCCCAAGGGTGGCTAAAACTACAAGTGAACAAAGAATAGCAGATGATTAAAAAAAAAAAAAAAGAAGCCAAGCTCACACTAGTCATCCCTGCTACGCAGGAGGCTGAGATCTGAGGATCAACCTTCAAAGCTAGTCAAGGTAGAAAAATCTGTGGGACTCATATCTCTAATTAACCAGCAAAAAGCCAGAAGTGGAGGTGTGGCTCAAGTGGTAGAGCACCAGCCTTGAGCAAAAAAGCTAAGGGACAGCGCCTAGGCCCTGAGTTAAGTTACAATACTGGTATAAAACAGGCATAAAACAACCAGGAAAAGGACATGATGAGGATAAATAGGGGGGAGGAATGTTGAGGAACAGACAGATGCCTGGAGAGGAGGACAAGTTAGTCTTAAAGCAGAGCAGCTCAACTATGTGTTGAACTGTGTTATGTTATAATGCACTCTGAGCTTGTTTTTTTTTCTGTTTTCCTTCTTAATACACATTTGCTAAGTCTACATTTATTAAGCCACAGTCATATGGTCTGAAAGTTTGAGGGGTGCAGTAAAATCTTCTGAGCCTTGCAACTCCTCCTGAGACACCAAGAATAACCACTTTCTTGTGCACATTCACCAGAGAATTCATATTGTACTATTTGTGCATGCAGCAGTGGGGAGAAATTATCTGACTCAAGACATAAGGGGCTTCTGTGTCCACAATCTTCACTGCTTCCCCTGATCCTGTTCCCACAATACAACATCCAGATGTGGTTTTCCAATCGACAGGACATCTGCTTTTTGTGGGGGGGGCTGCCTCCTTTCACTTGTAATTTTAGAACGGCAATTAGATACCAAGCCTGGAAGCTTCAGAAGCAGCCTGCATTCCTCCTATGTGTGCTAAAGATCCACTAAAATAAAAATAATGGGGAGATGCTTACTCAGTCCTCGCTGTAGATGGTATCTTACTGAATTTTGGATGTCTGACTTTGAGGCATGTTATTCCCTCCTTTTCAGAACAATTTTACTTTGTGTTTTTTTTTTCTTTTTCTTTTTTTTTTTTGTCAGTTGTGGGGCTTGAACTTTGGGTCTGGGCATTATCCCTGATCTCTTCAGATCAAGGCTCTACCACTTGAGCCTCACCACCACTTTTGGTTTTCTGGTAGTTAATCAGAGATAAGAATCTCATGGACTTTTCTGCCTGGGCTGGCTTTGACCCACGATCCTCAACTCTCAGCCTCCTGAGTAGGTAGGATTATAAGCATGAGCTGCCGGTGCCCAGCTTACTTTGTGTTTTCTAAGTTCCTACCCTGCCATTTTTGTACAGCAAGCCAGTTCCATTCTCTTTACTCATCCTGGGATTGAACCAACCCAACTTTCTTTCTTGGTCACAGGTGTGATACAAAGCTGCTACCAGCAGGGGGTGATGTTTCAGCATTTCTGGGAGATCAACCACCTTTGGGCTCTTGGAGGAACTCCAAGGCCAAGTGACTCACAGAAGGGTCCCCTGGCCCCCCTTTTGTTCCTGTTCTTTTTCTGTGGCTGAAGAAAGATGATCTGTCCTTAAGACTGCAGAAACTCATGGGGGTGTGCAGAGCCCAGAACTGGGTTCAGGTATGATTCTGGGCATTCGACTGGGGATCTAGTTCTCATTCTACTGAGTGGAAGTAGGAAAGTCGCATTTTCAATCTCTTATTTCCTTATCTATGTAAGGATGTGCGGAGGCTTTCTGGGATCCCTTCCTGATTCCAAACTCAGATTCTGGACGGATTCAGTACATACACACACACACACACACACACACACAAAAAGCCTAGGAGAAAAGTAGCTTCCACCTTGTGAGGGGGTTGACAGCTCATTCTGCCACTGCACCTACCAGTGTCACCATGGTTACATCCTTCTCTCTCACACCGTGACCTCCAAAATTCTGCTCATATTATCTGGATTTGAATTTAGTAGCCCCCAGACATTGGATGTGGAGGCATCTTGTGGGCCTGGCATTAAACTCTTCAGATACTAGTTGATTTGAAACTCCTGGACAGAGGTCAGAGGGTGATGTGCGAGGAGAGTGTAGAATGGCAGAATGTTTGCCAACTGATGGGGTAACACTGACACATTTTGGCACCTGTTGTGGCTGAGCCAATGAGAACTGTGAATGGGGTCAAGTAACTACCTCATACAGCCCTGGCCATGATGACTTGACGTAATGACTGCAATGCTTTTGACTGAGTGGCCAAGTCAGGTCAATCATTACCAGATTATTGGCTCCTTGTCTGGAGGTGATCTTTCTAGTGTGCCCTCTGCCTATCTCCAGTGAATCTCAGCTGAGTGCCAGTATGGAGTTCAGAAACAAGCCCTCTAAAAAGTCTCCCACAAGGCCCTAAGATGCATTCAATCCCAGGAGCAAATACTTACAAAATCATCAGACCACTGCTCTCCCTCGTCTGCAGGGCTCTCTGAAACAGCAAGAGACATGGAATGTATGAACAGGACTGTCAGCTGTTTACAGTCTGAACCTGCCTTTCGATCTTTTTGGCTTCCTGGTGCCATTGACTTGGCTTTTAACAGTTACCACAACCATCTGTTCATTCTGACTTCTTCAGAAGACAAATGAGTGACATCCCACTGGGGCTGAAGAATGGTGCCTCTGACCCATGTCTGTCTTTGTCCCTACTCTGTGAATGTGGCTCTCCTTGAATTGGCATGTGGATCTATCTATATTAGAATGAACACTGGACAGGACTCAGACATAAATTCTCATGCAGATGCTGGTCCCAGCTACTTGAGGAGTGCATCTCACATCTGGAGGCCTCTTTCTACATGTATACAATAGAAGGTAACTTCTGTGATTCTCTGGGGCTCTAGGTTTGACCTTCTGTTTGTTGTTGTTTAACAATGATTATCTAATGCTTTACTATATTTTAGGTAATATTGTCTAAGTTTTATATCCACATAACCTCAAAAATTTGTGTGGAGGCTGGGTGCCAGGGGCGGTTATCCTAGCCAGATCTCAGAAGGCTGAGATCTGAGGATCATTTTTCAACACCAGCCTGTGCAGGTAAGTTTATGAGACTCTTATCTCCAATTAACCAGTAAAAAGCCAGAAGTGGAGATCAAGTGGTAAAGCATTAACCTTGTGCAAAAACGCTCAGGGACAGCACCCTGGCTTGAGTTCAGGCTTCTGGACTAGCACACATACCCATTAAAAATATGTATTTGGGGACTGGGAAGGTGGCTCAGTGGTAACACATACCCATTAAAAATATGTATTTGAGGGCTGGGAAGGTGGCTCAGTGGTAGAGCGCTTGCCTTGCATACCTGAGGCCCTGGGTTCAATTCCTCAGCACCACATAAACAAAAAGAAAAAAAGCCGGAAGTGGCGCTGTGGCTCAAGTGGTAGAGCGCTAGCCTTGAGCTGAAGAGCTGAGGGACAGCGCCCAGGCCCAGAGTTCAGGCCCCATGACCGGACCCCCCCCCCCAAAAAAAACACAAAAACAAAAACAAATTTGAGACAGAAAATGGCTGAGTCACATGTCCATGGTCAGATAGTGAAGGACAGAGCCAGTACCAGAGCCCTGTAGGCTGACTTCAAAGCTCATGAAGATTCTCAGAGTTGAGCCTCAGTTTGTTCCAGGGAGCAGGTACCATCCCGGCTCTGTGGTGGATTGGGGATACAAATGGAGATGACAGACTATGGGTCTTAAGTAGCTGACAGCTTGGAGAGGAAAATAGGTCTGAGTTATGGCAGCCAACGAGAATGAATATTTCTCCTTCAAAACACATTATGAGAAGCCAACCCCATCCTACAATGTGACCTAGAGGTCACCTGGGGTTTACTGTGCTGTGTAGGAAATCAGCCAGTAACAGACTATAGGACAGAAAGGCTGAGAGCCTTGCACCCCAGAAAGTCCCAGTTCATTTCTATCCCATGGGGCAGCGACCATTACCAGCTTAGAGGATGAACCTCAGTTCCCCAGCACATCAACAGGACTATTCATTTGTTTGTTTGTTTTCTCTTTGGTCTGACACTCAAACTGGAACATACTTCCTGCTCATTGCCAGGTGCCCTACCACCTAAGCCATGCCTTCAACCTCTTATTTATTTCATATATGCCATTTCTACTCCTGGCCACAGCCGACTTCTGACTGTAGCTCCAGGTGGAGATCCCAGTAATGGGATTTTCTAGATGAAATATGGCCTTGGGACCAGAGCAGCCACCATTTAAACAATGTTGGCAGTAGTTCCCTCTCTTGGGAAAGCCATGGCAAATACTCGGGGGAACTTCTTGTAAGGTCCGCTCCTGGATGGCTAGCAGACTCCACCCTCCTCGCAGCAAAGTCTCCACCCAGTACCTGCGTTACCTAGGCAACTGGGACACCTGGAAGAGGTCACATCTGCATCCACTGAGGTCACATCTTAACCTGATGTGGCCACACCTTTCCCCCCCCCCCATACCCTAGATAAGGGCTAGCACAGGCCCAGGCTCTCTCTCTCTGTTCTATTCTAACTCTCTCTCTCTCTCTGTTCCTCCCTGCTCTCTCTTGCTGCTCCTTTCTAGCTTTCTCTCTGCTCTAGCTCTTTCCTCTCTCTTCCCCCTCTCTTTCCCCTCTCTTTCCCAGCAGGTCTACTGAATAAACCTACCCCTTACCTGAATACCACGTGCGTGCTGGTGCTGTTCTTACTCGGCTACCTCTTTTTAAAAACCTAACACTTCTCTCTTCTATCCAACTGTGGGCTATAAATTATTTTCTGATATAAACAGAAAATAATTTTTAATAAATCACTCTTTGGGTTGACCTAGCAAATGAAAATGTATTTGTGATCATTGGTAATTCCCAAGAAGTTCAAAGAAAAGTCCTTTGCCTAATACAGTCAACTACCACTGTGAGGGAAGAAAGTTCTAGTCCCTGGGATAACTGAGGATCAACACTTCAGGTCACAAGCTGTTTCTGTTTTGGCTATTTTGACAGAAAACTTTAGATAATGCCTTTATGAAACCCCCTGCCCCGCCTAGGTTAACTGGACTTGCTGAGTTTTTTTGTTTGTTCGTTTTTGTTTTTGTCTGTCGTGGGGCTTGAACTCTTGGGCCTGGGTGCTGTCCTTGCGCTCTTCAGCTCAAGGCAAGCACTCTTCCTCTTAAGCCACAGCACCACGTCTGGTTTTCTAGTGGTTTTTATTGGAGATCAGAGTCTCACAGACTTTTCTGCCCAGGCTGGCTTTGAACTGTGATCCTCAGATCTCAGCCTCCTGAGTAGCTAGGATTACAGGCGTGAGCCACTGGCACCCAGCTTTTTTTTTTTTTTTTGGCCAGTCCTGGGGCTTGAGCTCAGGGCCTGGGCACTGTCCCTGAGTTATTTTTGCTCAAGGCTAGCACTCTACCACTTGAGCCACAGCAGCACTTCCAGCTTTTTCTGTGTATGTGGTACTGAGGAATTGAACCCTGGGCTTCATGCATGTGAGGCAAGCACTCTGCCACTAAGCCACATTTCCAGCCCAACCTGCCTTTCTTTAGTGAATAAGGGTTAATGACACAGCCAATCTGCCTCCATTTTGCATCTGTGTCTTTTTCTTTTGTTGGTAGTGGGGACTTGACCTCCATGCCTGGGTGCTGTCCCTAAGCTCTTTTGCTCAAGGCTAGTACTCTACCACTTTGAGCCACAACTCCACTTCCGGTTTTCTGGTGGTTAATTGGAGATATGAGTCTTGTGGACTTTTCTGCCTGGAGGCTTTATACCACAAGCCTCTGATCTCTGCTTTCAGTGTAGGATTACGGGTATGAGCCATTGCTGCTGCATCTGTGTCTTTTGCTCTGAGCCATCCTTTCCTGCAGTTACCTTGTAGCCATCTTGGAAGGCAGGAGGGACAGCACTGATCTAAAAACATCTTTACGAGGGAAATAACCTCCATGGAAAGGAACAGCAGATCCTTCACAGGACAGTAGGACAGATTGCCGCCAACAAGCCACTGGACCATCATGGCCATGACCACCTCCTATCACCTAGGGGCACGTCTGTGACCCGGGTTGTTGAATGATTATGCATACTTCTCCCCCCTGCCCCATTCTTCCTGCTGTAACTGAAACCTATGGTACATGTCCATATGAGGAAGATGGTGATACACATATACATACCTTAATTCTTCTCAGGTTAATTAAATATCCTTTCTCTGCCCTCCACCGTTATTTGTCTCTCTTTGGCATATGGGGCAAGTGGCCAGACCTGACATATGAACCTTAGGAGTTTGGGCTTGGAACTTACAATATCCTATATCAGAATGGCTCCCTCCCCCCACTTCCTCCCTTCCGTTTCACTCTGAGCTCAAAGAAGTGGAAGACTACTTAGCTGTGAAAGTGTACAACTGAGAAATGAGTCCTGTGCTTAACACCAGGGGTTATGATGTGTTACAGTAGTAGCCATCATCCCAGCAAAATGCCCCTGTCTCAGCATAAGGGCAAATAGAAGAGCGTGAGTTTTCCCTTCAAAGGCTGCAGTCACTTTGGACACTCCATTTCTCTAAGATGCCGTTTCCTCATTTGCATAACCAAGACAGTAACTTCTTTCTTCAACCCAGGGCCTCATGCTCTTGCTTGGCTTTTTTGCTCATGATGGGGGCTTTCCAACTTGAGCCATGCCCCTAGCTAATTTCTTCTCTTCTTTTCTTTTCTTTTTTCTCTTGAAGATAGAGTCTCACTACATAGTATAAGTTGGCTTTGAGGTCTGTCTTCCTGCCTCAACCTCCTGAGCTCTGTGATTACAGGTGCACAGCACCATGCCCAGCCTGAGATAGTTATTTCTGTATCATGATGCTAATGGGAAGATTGAATGGATTATATTGGCAAAGAATGTAGCAGAACATCCAGAACACAGTGAATACCCACAGGTCTTGGCTCTCTTCCTTTCCCTCCCCTGCACCAGCTGCCTTTGGTCAGTGGACCATGAAAAGCCTATGACAATGTCACCAACTCAAAGATGAAGGCAGGGCTGGTGGGTCCCTGCTGAATGCCACAAGCCTCTCACTGATTGGATCTTTATCCTGAAGGGCCAAGACACCATTATTTGTGTGTCCCAGTCTTTGTCCTGAGTCAAGCCAGAAGAGGGACTATGTGATTCTTCTGTCAGCCTCTAGAGGGTGCTAGTCTTGTCCATCCTCTGCCATGAGAAGGTCCATGTCACCAACATCAAACACTCACTCCTGGCTTAGAAGGCTTGCCTACAGGACAGGAAAGAGGACATGGCTCCATTGTCTGGGGGAACAAGTAGTGATGTCTTACATGGCATGGATGGCCCAAGTCTTTGCAGTGACTGGAGAGCAGTAATCTGGCCAGAGGTTCCCAGAAGGCTCAGTTTCCATACACAGCTCAGATCTCCATGCACAGGTCCTTGGAGACTTCCTAGAGTTCCGGGGGAGTTTTAGGGCTGAGGCCCTAATGCTACAGCTGTGCTGGGACCTTAGGGATCAGGGAAGCAGCTGGCAATACTCCTGGGGCACGTTAATAGGGGGGGAGGATGGGAAGGGTGAGAGAGGGGGGAGTGGGGAGAAAAGGGCTTGGGTGGGAAGGGCAGGGTAAGTAAGTGCAGGATTGTTGATGTTTTTGCTAGGACTAATTCCAGGGAGCAAGTGTTAACAGCAGGAATCTGGTCCAGGCCCTACTGGTAAAGCAGGCAGGATGGATTTCTGATACTCAGCAAACTTCTGTGGACATGAAGATCTGCTTGTCTTTCAGGTCAGAGGCAGTGATTTCAGGACAGAGACGAATTACAACAGAGCTGCTCAACTCTAATATGCATTCAAATCCTCAGGAATTCTTGTGAGTAATTGATTTTCATCTGGTATTTGTGTGGCAGGGCTGAAATTCTGCATTTCTAACAAGCTTCCAGACCATGGCAGCTGCCATGAAGCTGGGAACCACACTTTGTGTAGCTAGGGCTGAGAAGAGTTACACTACCTTTGCAAATCTGGTCAGTGTTTCTGTGTTCCTAGAGACCTCAAGAACAGATAAGCTGGTTATTAAGACTATCACACCTGTAATCTTGGCTACTCAGGAAGCTGAGATCTGAGGGGCTTGGCTCAAAGTCAGCCTCAGAAAAAGGTGCTGTACACTAAGCAGATTTCCTGACTTATAGATAAGATAGACATTTTTTTGACTGTGCTGACCCTGAGGCTTGAACTCAGGATGTGGGCATTATCCCCGACCTTCCCTCCCCCCCCCATAGGCACTCTACCACTTGAGCCACAGCTCCACTTCCACCTTTTTAGTGGCTATTGAAGCCAAGAGTCTCACAGACTTTCCTGCCCTTGCTGGCTTTGAACTGCAATCCTTAGATCTCAACTTCCTGAGTATCTAGGTTACAGGTGTGAGCCACCAGCATCTGGCTTAGATAGATAAGGTAGATTTTAAAGCCAGGCTAAGATCCCCCTTTCTTACTGTGAGTATAGAATTCCCTGCATATACTCTGAACTTGGTAAGAGGTTGGCAGGGTGAGGTCAGTGAACACTGTGACCAGCCAGGAATCAGACTCACATATGCTGGCCAATATTTCTTGATGGGATAAAATTTCATCAGTGTCCAACTCAACTATCTGATTTATTGCTATCTTGACAGGTAGCAGGAAAAAATTAATCCAATTCACCAAAGATCTTGATTTGGTTTTAGTTGTCCTGCAGAGGAAGAATTATCTGTGTTGTCTGTAGTCCCTTGTTTTCATGAATGGCTGCATAGATCTATCTGTCCAAGTTCAGGAAATATTTCTACTTAAAACTGTAGAAAAAGATTTTAGATCTAGCCTCCTATATACTCCAGAAAAGGAAACCATGTTGGAGATTTCATTTTGCTCACCTCTGCCATAAACACTACCAACTTCAAGACTAACTTCTGTCAAAAATCACATCTGTCTGGGTAGTGGGATCTCACACTTGTAACCCTAGCTATCAGAAGGGTGGGATCTGAAGATCACAGTTTGAAGCCAGACCAAGCTGGAAAAGCTGTGAGATTCTTATCTTCAATTAAGCGCTCAAAAAGCCAGAAGTTGAGCTGTGGCTCAAGTGGTAGAGTTCTAGCCTTGAGCACAAATGCTCAGGGACAGTACCTAGACCCTGAGTTCAAGCCCCAGTACTAGCACCCCCCCCCCATACAATCAGTTCTAGTTTGGGATGGATCGATTGTAGGCTGATCTCATAGAAGACTGAGTAGCAAACGCTCCATTAATTATTTATTCTCCAACCCTTTAACACCATTTCACCATCTTTTTTGTGAAGGAAACCATCTCTTCCCCACATCCTGCACCTCAGGTTAGATGTGGTCTGAATGCTGTGAATTCCTACAGGATGTAGTGTTCCCATCTTCCAACTTCCCTTCTTTTTCCTCCCAGACTACATTTGGGAGTATAGAGACTGTATTTGACTTATTTGGCACTGCAGTTCTACTTAAGACCTTGTACATGCCTGGCACCTGCAGCATGCTTGACAAACAGCTGCGTGGACACACAGATGGACTGAGAGATGGATAAAGTTGTATGCTCCCTCTATATAGCTCATGCTAGAGATCAGTTCTTCCAATTATGATAGACATCTTTTGTTTTCCAGTCAGTAGAACATATCTCACTTTTCAACAGACTAATACAAACATTACAAGAGTCAAATGTCAGTAATGTAAGTTTAGAAATTTTCTTACCTAAGGCATAGTCCCTTCGAGGAACACTAGGAGGAGCTTTGACTTTTAGCCTGGAGATAAAAATAGGAGACCAAAGGTCAGTAGGTAGGCAGAACAACTGTTGTTATAGAGATAGATAGTTTGTCGTTGTTGAATAGGAAGATTACAACCTCTTAAAAGATTAACTGTGGTGAGGCTCTTGGTCTGAAGATCTCCACCCCACCCTCCCCACCAGCTCCTCAGGGCATCACATGACTATGACTTGGTGAAGGTGAAGTGGTTGGTAACTTGGCTCTGTGAGGTACAAAAACTAGGAAGCATGGCATTCAGAAGTCCAGGGAAAATCAGTACTGATTGGTTATAGCAAGGTAGGACAAGATGAACTATACTTTAATGTCTTATAAATAAATGTTTTATAAACACAGGACAAAAAGTAGCTATAATAAACACTTTGCTTATAATTAGTTTGTACCACTTAAAAGCGTGACAAGTAAGCACTGAGTGTATCAATATTCAACGTCTACAGTAAATCACTACTTTTAGTAATGATTTATCATTCTGTCTAAGAATGGGTGCCAGTGGCTCATGCCTGTAATCCTAGCGACTCAGGAGGCTGAGATCTGATGACTGTAGTTCCAAACAAGCCCAGGAAGGAAAGTCTGTGAGATTCTTTTTTTTTTGGGGGGGGGGTCCGGTCGTGGGGCCTGAACTCTGGGCCTGAGCGTTGTCCCTCAGTTCTTCAGCTCAAGGCTAGCACTCTACCACTTGAGCCACAGTGCCACTTCCGGCTTTTTTCTTTTTGCTTATGTGGTGCTGAGGAATCAAACCCAGGGCCTCAGGCATGCAAGGCAAGCGCTCTACCACTGAGCCAACTTCCCAGCCCCAGTCTGTGAGATTCTCATCTTCAACAAACTGTCAGAAAGTCCCAAGTGGTAGAATGCTAGCCTTGAATGAAAAAGCTCAGAGACAATGCCCAAGCCCCAGGACTGTATGTGTATACAAAAAAGAATGATTTACTTGATGAAATTTAAAAATTTGTAAGTAAACACACAGAGTAGCCTTTAATTACTAAACTATCATGTCTATTTTTAGAGGCAGTGTATAGGAAAACTATTATATATAAAAAATTTCATTTATTAGAAGAATGCAATACAGAAGCTTATATGTGGGATGTGTGTGTGTGTGCATGCATGTGTGTGCGCACGCATACATGCATGCGCACTGAGCCTGGGGCTTAAACTCGGGGCCTGGGTGCTGTCACTGAACTTTTTGGCCCAAGGCTCATGCTCTATACTTTGAGCCACAGCTCTACTTCTGGCTTTTTGGTATTCAATTGGAGATAAGGGTCTCTTGGACTTTCCTGCCCACACTGTCTTTAAGTTGCTATCTTCAGGTCTCAGCCTCTTGAGCTAGGATTATAAATGTAAGCCACTGGCATCTGGCTTTGATTTTTAAATCCACAGAAGCCCTCTACCAAAGCAGAATTGCAGTTCTTTAGAAATAATAATGCTTACATTTGTATTGAAATTACTTTTTCCACCATAGTCTCTTATATCTATTATTTCATCCAGTTACCCAATAGTCCCCATCAAACTAAACCTGTGATGAAGTCTGGAAAGAGATTGTCCCTGGAGTTGTAGGAACAAAAACCAAAAATAAAGCTGGGCCTGATGCCCAGGTCAGTTTATGGAATAGTAAACTTTCCAAAAACATATAAACCCACTATTATTCATTATTATTGTCATTCCCTTAAAGAAAAGAAGAGGTATTTTAACAGCCTCCAATCATCCTGGATCAAGGACAAACTCAAGAATGGACCATTGAGCCCTGCCCACAGGTTAAGAATAAAGGATATATTTTGAACATTACTCAGTAGCTGGCAGCTACCGAGTCACCCAGCACTTCCGGGTCCTTCTCTGTTCAGATGGCACAGACCCATGAAAACCTGGTCACAGCTTTATGTAAAGGAACCAGTGTGTTCAACTGTGCTTCCTGCTTTCAAGGCAGCCCCTGTTGGCTGGCTAGGAGGGTGAGCTTAACTGCAGCTCACTTTGAACCAACAAGCCCTTGATATTGCCCAAGGTAATGACCATGGTGGCCATTATTCCAGGATGAGAAACATGATTTGCCAAGTAAAAAGAGCTCTGGGGGACAATGCACAAAAGGCTTGAAATAGATACTCAGAAACAATCAGAGTTTCATGGCTGCTGTGAACATGACTGACTATGGAATAGAAAAGTGTTTCATGCAGAGATTTCATATTACAGAGAACTAGATTTTGTGAGTTCTTATTTGGAATTCTTTAGGAGCATCCTGGGGGAGGAGGGTTTGACTTGATAGTTATCAGGCTGATTTTCCTGCTTTGACCTTGGTCAGGCTACTCTTTGGCAGCTAGAAGGAAAGTGCAAGTGTACTGAGTTCCTCCACTCACTTTGTTTCCAGAACAAAGTGATCCTGCCTCTCTCCAGGACCCCCCTCCCCCCCTCCCCACCTTCCTTCTACCCACTAAGAAAGGGCCACAAGTTAATCAGGCATCTCCTCCCTTAAGTAAGGGAACTCTGCTTCCTTCCATTCAAACACTGGCAAATTTATTCCATATAAGTAAATCTGTAAACAGAAGCTAACTTACTTTTTGATTTTGTCCATGATGCCACCTTCATTGTTCTTAATATCATGGACTATCTTTTGAAGTTGCCTGTAAAAAAAACAAAATAAAACATAAAAAATTAATAACTAGGCTGACTTTTGAAGAAAAAAAGACTTCTAAAATCTTTCATGAATAAAAGAGAGAGAGAGAGACAGAGAGAGAGAGAGACAGAGAGAGAGAGAGAGAATCCCTACAGCAAAACCTCCAAATACCAAGCATTATTTTGCATTTAATTAAATTGAGTCTTTGCAAGTCACCAACAGTTTGGAGACCTTCAGAGAAAGTTCAGAATCTGATAGACCAGTTGGGTTCTTTCAGTTGGTTGTGACAGAAATTCCTGGATGGAAAAGGCACAGTTGATCTCCCATCTGATCCTGCCCCCTGAGTTTCTGGATAGGTTTGAAGTGGAGCAGAAGAATTTGCATCCCTAATTAATTTCCAGGTGAAACTGATGTTTCTGGTCCAGGACCACCCTTTGAGCAGCAGTGGATGGTGATAGGTAATGTCTTTCCCACAGTGGGCCTTAGTTGTGCCTGAATAAAGCAATACAGAATTTATTTGGGGAAAATTAAGGTTCATTTTAACCCAAGTGCAGAGCTGAGTGATCCACATGAAAACCTACACAAGTAAGAGCTTTACCAGACTTGCTTCTTAATAGGACTTGACTTTTCCGTTTCAATTTAGACCTTACTATGCCTGAATATGTTCATTAAAAAAAAATCCTCTAGAGTCATAGCTTGCAAAGGCTGCAGAGGGAGAGGAAAAGACTATGGCACAACATAGACTACATACTGTGTGACCACTCAAGAGGCCCAGGACCTTTGGCCAGGACTGCTCAGCAGTTCCTGACAGGTGCTGGAAAATGAACCAAAAGTAGGGAGAGGTATTGGCACTGTAACCTGAATGGCAGAAAATAACCTGAGCTGAGACAGGAAGATGAGTCTAGATAGCTCTGGCTGCATCATGAGACCCTGTCTCAAGTAAACAAACAAAAAATGATACCTGCTAAGTGAAAACACACAATTTGAAAAGCCTCCACACTGTATGAGTTCTGTGTGGGACTCTGGAGAAGACAACAGTATGGACACAGTAGGTTTAAGTGGTTTCTCATTTGAGGGTACAAAAGGAAGATAGTGAATTCAAGGCCAGCCAGCCTTGGTTACATGAGAGACAGTCACCCCCCCCTACTGTCCCCCCCCCAATAAAAGGCCAGGTCAAAGTTTTCTTCTTCTAGGCTTCTAGGAGAGGTTTGATTGTGAGGAGAAAAAGAAGATTTTCACACTCTCAATTATCTTCCACGTGCCCACATTACCCAAAACACCTTTAAGCTTCCATCCTCCTATCTATGGCCTCTCACAAGGCCAGGATTACAGGTATGTACCATTATAGCCAGTGCATTTGTTGAGACAGTCTCACTAGCTTTTGGCAGAGATCCTCTTAATCTCTGCCTTCCAAGTAACTGAGATTTAGATAGGCATAAATAACACATTTTTTAAGGGGAAACTTGTGTTTTTCAATTTCATACATAAATGAGACAATGTGGTACTTGTCTTTCTGAGCCTGGCTTACTTCACTTTAAATAATAATGTTGAGTTGTACGTCTGTTGTAAATGACAGGATTTTATCCCTTTTAATGGCTGAACACTATTGCCTTTGTGATATGGACTATGTACTCTTTAGCCATTCATCACTGATGGACACTTAGGTAGTTTCCATTGCTTGTTCTGACCAACAGTACTGAAATTAACCTGGGAGTACAGATATCTCTTTGACATCATGATTCCATTCACTTTGGCCATATATATATCCACTAGTAGGATAGTTGGATCAGATGGTGGTTCTTGTGTGCATGTGTGGGGGGGGGGGGGAAGGTGGGTGTGTACTAGGGCTTGAATTCACTCTTTTTTTGGTCAGTTATGGTGCTTGAATTCTGGGGTGAACCCTGTTCGTTCCTCAACTCTTCAGCTCAAGGCAAGCGCTGTTCCACTTGAGCCACAGTGCCACTTCCAGTTTTCTGGTGGTTAATTGGAGTTAATAGTCTCATGGACTTTCCTGCCCCTGCTGGCTTTGAACTGCGATCCTCAGGTCTCAGCCTCCTGAGTAGCTAGGATTACAGGTGCCTGGCTTAATTCAGTATTGTTTAACTTTCTTGCTCATGGCTGGAGCTCAACCATTTGATGAGCCAGGTCTCTAGGCCAGCATTCTGTGGATTCATCAAAGATGTGAGCTTTTCTGCCTGGGGTGACTTCAAACAGTACTCCTCCAGGTCAGCCTCGGGAATAGGTAGGATTGCATGTGTGAGCCACTGGCCACTGGCTGGTAGTTCTACTTTTGAAGGAGCCTCCATGCTGTCTTCCTTAATGCCTGCACTAAATTAGGTTCCCAGCAACCCAGAGCTTGCTATCTTGTCTTTTGATAGTACCGTTCTAAATGGAGTGAAGCGATAGCTTGTTGTTTTTTGTTTGGTTGGTTTTTTGAGACAGTCTCACTATATTAACCCAGGCTGGCTCCAAACTCATTATACAGGCAATCTGCCCTCAAATGCCTGATACTCCTGCCTCTAAGCTGAGATTATAGGCTTGTACCACCTTGCTAAGCACTTATTGCGTCTTTGATGTTCATTTCCTTGCTGAATCTGCTGATGATTTTTTTTTTTCAGGTTCCCATTGATCATTTGTGTTTTCTTTTAAGAAAAGCTGCTTAGGGGCTGGAAAGGTAGCTCAGTGGTAGAGCGCTTGCCTTGAATGCCTGAGGCCCTGGGTTTGATTCCTCAGCACCACATAAGCAAAAAGAAAAAAGCCAGAAGTAGCGCTGTGACTCAAGTGGTAGAGCGCTAGCCTTGAGCTGAAGAGCTGAGAGACAGCGCCCAGGCCCAGAGTTCAGGCCCCACAACCGGACCCCCCCCCCAAAAAAAAAAGCTGCTTAGGTCTTTGCCCATTTTAAGCTGCACTATTAGCCTTTTCTTTCTTTTGAATTATGAGTTCTTTCTATATTTTATATTATACATATGTATTTCTGATATGTATATATATCAGATGTATAGTTCTCAAATATTTCCTCCCATTCTGTAGGTTATTTCTTTACTGTACTATCTCCTTTGCTGTGCAGAATCTTTCTAAATTGATGTCATCCCACCTGTCTATTTTTACTTTTGTTTCCTGTGTTTCCAGGGTCCTTTCCAAGAAGTCCGTGATCATTCCAACCAATTTCATATATTTTGGACATTTTCACACATGGGCCATTTACTTAGGCTTTAAATACACATTCCTCTGTAAACTGAGGGCTTTTAGATGTCTGCTGCAGGCGGTGGTGGAGAACCAGGCGCCCTAGTCTTGAGGGAGGAGAGGAAGCAGACCAGGGCCAACCTGAGAATCCTGGAGAAGCAAGGGTGGTGTGACGTTCGTGCTGCCTGCCAGCGCTGAGAGCCTTGGGTGGGCCTGAGGGACAGGAAGGGGGCTGTAGTCTCAGGCTCCCCCTCTGTTCCTTCCAACCTAGTCTCTCTCCCAAGTTATCCTCTGAAACGCCAAAAGGTGTCCTATATTTGTTTATTAAAAATCCAGAGTGTAGCCCGGAGCTGGTGATTCTTGCTTATAATCCTAGCTACTCAGGAGGCTGAGATCTGAGGACTGCGGTTCAAAGCCAGCTCGGCAAGAAAGCCCATGAGACTTTTATCTCCAATAAACCACTATAAAACTGGAAGTGGTGCCGTGGCTCAAGTGGTAGAGCGCTAGCCTTGAGCTGAAGAGCTGAGGGACAGAGCCCAGGCCCAGAGTTCAAGCCCCACGACTGACAAAAAAAAAACCACCCAGAGTACAGCCGGGCTCTGTTTGCTCACACCTGTAATCCTAGCTACTCAGGAGGCTGAGATTTGAAGATCACAATTCAAAGCCAGCCCAGGAAGGAAAGTCCATGAAACTCTTATCTCCCAATAACCACCAGAAAACCAGAAGTGGTGCTGTGGCTCAAGTGGTAGAGTGCCAGCCTTGAACTGAAGAGCTGAGGGACAGTGTCCAGGCTGAGTTCAAGCCCCACAACCTGACTAAAAACAAAAAACAAAACAAAACAAAAACTCATAGGGCTTGCCTTTAAACTACACGAAGGAGGAAAAGAGTAATTAGGGGAACCTGGAAATCTTCATTTTAATAATCTTCCTGGGACTTTTAGGTCATCCAAAGCTGAGAACTTTTGTAGAAAGGACACAGGGCTGGGCATGGTGGTACATCCTTGTAATCCCAGTTTTGGGGAGGCAGAGGCAGGAAGATGGTGAATTAAGGACAGCCTCAGCTCCATAGGGAAACCAGGTTCTCTCCTTTGAGGTCAGGCTTAATGCGAAAGAGCACAAAAGGTGATGTTTCAATTTCCCAAATACCTTCCACCTGCCATATTGCCTAGCTAACCTTTAATGACAGAGCTCATTCTTCTCTCTACAGTGAGAAGACCGGGCAAGTTCTGACACTCTCCCAGGAAAGGGAAGGCACAGCCAACGGGGCTTTGAGTCCATGGTACTGGGAGAAGGGCAGGAGGAGCCGCACAGCTACTGGCAGCCCAGCGTCTCTGTTCACGGTGTTCAGGGTGATAGAGGGCATAGAGCTGCTTCTCATCGGCCAGGTTTCGTGGCAGCGCCTCTGGACCCACAAGCTACAATCTCCAGTACTAGAGCTTGAACTGCTGAAGCTCTGATCTTACATCGATGGCAGCCTCTCTTCCTCTTCTTCTTGGAAGAAAAGTTAAGCTAGAGAAGTGGCTTTGGATTTGACTGCAATTAGAATATGGCAAAGTGGTTTGGTGTTCCAGGCCTGCACTTGCTAGTCAGGTACTTCTATCTGAAAGGATCAATGAAAGGATCCACCACATCCAGCCCAGGGGACAACACAGAGGCAGGCAGGCATAGGAGAAAGATTATTACAAGGTTTATTAGAGGAGCCATATTTGCCCCAGAGAGAGAGAGAGAGAGAGAATGCATGGCAGCCTCTGCTATAGGTAGCAGCAGGGTCTCAGGGTTAGGGAGTGAGTTGGATGGGTGGGTCTGGGCAGAGAGAGGGAAGAGC